GAAAAATACTTTTTTTTGCAAAATCTATAAAGGACCCTATTATTTTTCAAAAAACCTGTTTGACAGTTATTATTTTACGCCCTGTACTTTGCCATTCATATTGTAGGCAACACTACTTAATAAGTAAAGTTAAGTGTGATAGTGAAAAGGTGTAAGCATGGTCGTAGCCAGGTAGGTGCAGGGCGCTCGGGCATAAAAATCAGAAAAATTTTAAATTATAAGGCTTAATTGTTTTTGTTATTTTGTGGCTTATAGCAATTATATTCACCTAAGGCTTAAATTAAAAAATGGCCATACATTCAGGAATAGTCTGGAATTCTGTTATAGAATTTAGTTATTTATTTTCAACATTTATTGTTGCTTTGAAAAAGATTTCTATGATACCTTTGTTTGTTTGTGCCTAATTAATGGTAATTTGTAACAATAAATTGCAAAAAAAAATTAAAACAAAAATGTTACTCCTTTTTTATGATTTCTACTGCTTTTTTCTATCGAAAATAGAAATGTACTCCTTTCTCTGTTTCAGAATCTGGCAACCCTAGTCATTGCTGAGCGAAGTATTAACCAGGTTTCTGATGATGGTGACTTCGATAGCCAAAGCTGGGAGTGCTATAACTGGTTGCGGATCGAGGAATGCCTGAATGCCTGAATGAGTCGATTCTGGCCAAATTATCAAATGTCTCATTACCAGGTACCTCAGCCAGGAAGACCCAAGCATGTACCTCCAAGAGAAAAGTGAAACTTATCCCCACTAACTTCGAAAAAGACCCCAGATCGTGACCCAGAGTCAGTTTTGGAGCCATCGGTGAAGATTCGACAATGTGGGAGTCCGGGCTTAGTGCTGGAATTAAACCAGTATTCAGCCTCAGGGAACTTAACATTATAGAATCTCTTCAACAAAGGTAATGTGGCGTACTATCCTGTGGCACTGAATAGACATATGGGCTCAGATCTCAGCCGCCAGAAATTTTCGCCTCGCCCCAGTCAGTGTTACACCAACATCCGTTTCGTTTTAGTCTGCAGGTGGGCCTTTAAGGCCTCCCCACGTATGAAGACAAAAGTGACGGTAAGTGCAGCAGTGCGTCACGCGTCACACTACTCAAGAAAATTAAGGGAGGTTTTAAAAATAGAAAATTAAAGCTAAATAAAGGGGCTATCCGATTATATGAGGGCCTAAATGAAACAAACCATATCAGTCCCGTGGAAAAAAAGCATACAATTTGGAAAATTATTTTTTCGCGTTGTCTGTCAGGATTGCATGAACACCGTGGCTAATAAAAATTTTTAGCCAAAAAGAATTAGAATCTTAGAGCTTCAAATGCCTTTTTAAAGTCTCAATACCACCATTCTTACCGAAATACGGCCTGTCATATACCCCAGAAAAATGTGGTATTTTTTTTTGCTCCTTTAATTTTTTGGAGTAGAGTATTATCTGCCTACATTGATAGATAAAGCCAAGCAACCATTTTTTTCTTTACTATCGCCAACGTAGACCCCCGTCGAGTCTCCCGTGAACCCCTGGGGGTCCACCTGGACCACTTTGGGAATCACTGATCTAGGCCATCGTTATCTTAGCTAAAATACGAATTTTTTGCCAACAAAAATATTCTCTGTGAAAGGCTTTTTAAATGCCATGGGATCGCTGGTTTTTAAACCACGGCTCTGAAATGCTTAGGAAAGATGTATGCTATTAAAAATTGCGAAAAAGCTCGTCCAAAAAAATATCAGTTAGGGCCTTTACACATTTCAACAACAATATGTACTTCAAGTTTTTTTTTTTTTTATTGGGTACACGTGCTTATGTAATATCGCCTTATATTATTCGATTATCGAACACAAATAGCTAATCTACGTACTTATGTCCCAATATTATAGCAAATCATAAAAAAACGCTAGCGGCGTATCATTAAAAAAAGTATAGTCTATATATGTATTTCAGTTGTTGCCATAGCTGCATTTTACACTCTAATACGAACCCAATTTGCCACAGAGCGAGGACGAGTTCGAATCGACGTCGGTCTGGTGAATTCGTTTGGATGAACTCGAAACGACGTCGAAACGAAGTCGTTTTTTTCATACCAACCGCAACGTAGTTACGACGTCGGTTTGGTGAAGTCGTTTGGGTGAACTCGAAATGACGTCGTTTTTTAATACAATACACAAGTGGTTTTGATGAACTTGAAACGACGTCAAAGCGAATTAATTTTTTCCATACAAAATTTGTTCTCTATTACACTAGAATTTAATCAGCTATAAAATTGCTTTATATATTTTTTTTATTCAGGTTGAAAACTTTGAAATTTTTAAGAATGCTGATTTTTTTTTTTTAATTTTGAACACAATTTGATTGGATTGGTGTGGTTTTTATTAAACATTTTTAACATCGTTTTGCAGTTCGCTAGCATATCGTGTTTTGCGGTTCGAGTCGGTTTTACAGCCCGCCGGCGAGCTGTGCTTTTCATCCGATGGCGAGTTCGCCGATCAGTGTTGCCAGGTTTTCGGCATGAGAAAACGTTCCTCTTGGTCTGAAAAAACGTCATTTCCTACCCAAAAACGTCTTTTCCATGTATGAATTGGTCTTATTAAACTTTTATTGTAGACAAAGGTCCATATGTACGTAAGGTATATTAAAATGTAATTTTGACAGAGCACATTTAAAATTCATTAGTGGTATTCACCAAAGTGAGCAAGTGGCCGGCCACTCTGGTAAAATAGCAGATGAGCTCAAGCAACGACTGTTGACAACAATTTGGTGAATACCACTATTGTAAACTGGTTTGAGATCATTAATATAAAAATCATGTTATACATACACTTGTGATCAGCTGATTAAGTCATCAACATTTTGATCGATTTTAGCTGTTTTTCTTTTGTTATTATTTTTTTCATAAAAGCCTAGCTCATTATATAACTAACACAATATAAATCCACATTTCAAACTTATAAAAAATTATAAAAATCTGCAAAGTTTCAGCTAGAATTTCAAGTTTTTATTCAGATTTTTTAGAATTTTTTTGAGTATCCGGTTTGATAGCCCATTAAATTCCAGGGTAATTATGTGCAAGTTTAAAGTTGCTAAAGAATCGCGTTAATTTTTAAATATTTTTTTTCTTGTAGACATTTGGTAAGGTGGTCGGTTGTCGAAAATGCTAAATTACGTTCTGCTAAGAAGGAACATAGTGCTTTTGCGAGCGTGCGTGTTGCAATAGATCAGCTCTTCCTGATTTGGCTTTTAATATGCAATTGCAAACATTGTAATAAGCCTTGTAATCTCAAGTATTTACACAACCAGCCTTTGAACGCGGGATCATATGTGTCCAAAGAATAAACATCTTTTGAGGCACCTCCTGCAAAAGTTTGTAAAGATTTAATAAGAAAATAATTCAAAATGAGTTCTACTTACAAGATTTAGTAACAAATTTGCCGACAGAGTGATCGTAAGTACTTACTCTACAAGCAAATAGTACGCTATACATTAAATATATTGTGCATAGAGAAAAATTACTGGGAAGTTAAAAAACGTAATTTTTTACACAAAAAACGTCCAAACGTCAACAGGATACAAAAAACGTCCAAATGACGTTAAAAACGTCAACCTGGCAACGCTGTAGCCGATGAACAAATTGTTAACCAGAACGAGTTGGAAACGACGTCGTTACGTTCGCATCACTTTACACATTCGCATCGACATTCGCCTTCGCATCAAATGATACGAATATTTTGCGAATGCCAATGAGTACTTGGGCAACAGTGTTGTCATTTTGGTGTTTTTGGAGCAAGATTTAGCTCTTGATTTTTCTATTTAGCACCGAAAATTGGACTTTAGCTGCTAGCTCTTTTCAAAATTGTCTAGCACTTTTTAGTTCCACAAAGATTTAGTTGTATTTGGTAATATATTAAAATTAGGAATCTGTATTTCAATGTACAAGTGTTGCCTAAAATTTATTTGGCTTTGGTGATCCCAGGCTATCTCCAATTTCGATTAATAATTAGAAAAGTTCCATTCTTAATGCAAATGGCGGGTAAGCAAATGGAAAATTAGCCCAGGAAAATTAGATAAATTTGGTAGGAAATTTGAAAAAAATTGGTAAAAGCGATTTTTTGATGCAGTTTACTTCTATTTGGCACGTAGATCATGGAACCACAGTTGTGCTCATTGCTAGAGACTACGAATTAAACTCTATAACTATTTACGCCAAAGATGTACAATGAATTAAGCAGTAGTGCGAGATAGTTTATTTCTATAATAAAGGAATTACATTAACGATTTACAAATTACCAAAATTTAGATCTTACCGCGGTTCCGTCTCTGTCGGCTTTTTGCAACGAGTGAATTCGTCAAATCGCTGAAGATGGAACCGTGGTTTACAATCTTGCCATGTTCACAAATAAACATACAGAGTTGCCGCATTTATAAATAAACAATTTTAAAGTTTGAAATAACAGCGTTGCATTTGCTAGGCGTTTCGCGACATCCCTCCCCCGTGAATCACACTGATTCACTATTTTCTAAATTAAGAATGGCTAGCTTAGATGAGGCGCGTCTAACGATTCCGTTGCTGGTACGGACATTTGCCTTCCTGATCACTCCATCAGCTCCTGGGTAGACTTCCTCGATGATTCCACGACACCATTGCCTCTTTGGAACAATCGCGTCGCATATAAAAACTGTGTCACCAAGTTCGATTGGTTGTGTGCCCTGGCACCACTTGACACGTCGCGTTAAAGTGGGTAGGTATTCAAGGATCCACCTTTTCCAAAAGTGGTCACGAAGTTGTCTAGCGATACGCCACTGATTTCGTAGCGAACACATCCTTTCGGGTTCCTTGTTGACACTTGGTGTTTGTGCTGTGTTCGCCGAACCGAACAAGGAGTGGTTAGGAGTAAGCGGTTCTTCTTGGTCTGGAGCGATGGGTAGGTGCGTAAGCGGGCGCGAGTTGACGATGTTCTCAGCTTCGCCGAGGAAACATTGAATGGTGTGTTCCCTTGGTGCAACTTCCTTAAGCGTTCCGTAAAACTCCTTTTACGCACTGCACCATTCTCTCCCATACGCCTCCTTCTGATGTATTGACAGGGCAGTTAAACCTCCATTGAATACCCTTCGACGCTAGTTCATTCTGTACCCTTTCGCAGTCGAAAACCTCAGAAAACTTATTGGCCTCTTCGTTTGCTCCGACGAAATTCTTCCCGTTGTCCGAACGTAACCTTACTGGCACGCCGCGCCGGTTGATGCAATTTCGAATTGCGATGATACATGCATCCGTACTCAAGACGTAAGCCAACTCTAGGTGGACGGCTCTTACCGTCAAGCAAGTGAAGAGCGCCACCCACCTCTTTTCTTGCCGGCGTCCTATAGTGACCATAATAGGGCCGAAGTAATCTAAGCCAGTGTATGTAAATGGTCGCACAAAGGGCTCAAGGTGATCCACTGGCAGCGGTCCCATAAGTGAGGTAACTGGTGCAGCTTTATTTATACGACAAACGAGGCAATCGGCTATAATCTTCCGGAGAAGTTGACGTAGGCGTGGAATCCAGTAGGTTCTTCGAATTTCACAAATTGTTGCTTCGGTGTTCTGGTGTTTAAGAACAGCGTGATGTTGTACCAACAATTTTGTAAGAGCGTGATTGGATGGCGATATAACTGGACGTTTCGTACTAAACGGCAACCAACTCGCAGCATCTATGCGACCATTAACTCGCAGCACATTGTCTTCGTCTTTGTATGGCGACAACTGGTATAGATCGCAGGTTAGTGGGATAGGAATGCCATCTGCGATACTCTGGAGATCGAGGGCAAATGCTTCTTCTTGGAAATGACGAAAAAGAAGCTTTTTTGATGCGTCCACCTCTTCCGATATCAAACCCCACTGCTCAGCATGCCAAGCACGTCGGCCACAACGACATCTCTTCGTGAATCGCAGCACCCAAGCAGTAGTTCTCACGAGTTTATTAAACGACGAAAAACGATTAATATCATCAGGTCTATTACTCACAACCAACCGGGCGAATTTCGGGCTCAGCTCTTCTTCATCTTTCAAGCTCTGGTCGTTGAATCCAGCTTCTTTTGGCCAGTCCACTTCATTGCTGAGAAGAAATTTCGGGCCACATAGCCAAAGTGACGTGGAACAATATTCGTGACGGCTCTTTGCTCGGGTCGCCTCATCAGCAACATTCTCAGCCGTAGAGAGCCATATCCAATTTGAAGGCGTCGTTGCAGACAGAATTTCTGCTACACGATGCGCCACAAATGGCTTGTATCGGCGGTGTTCGCTCTTAATCCACTTCACAACCGTTTTTGAGTCTGACCAGAGGATACAGCTGGATGCTTTGACTGCATGCTCCTCTCGTAACGTCTGCATCAGACGAGTACCCAGAATGGCTACTTGGAGTTCGAGACGCGGGACCTTGATTGGCTTCAGGGGTGCACATTTAGCTTTGGAGCATACGAAGGCGACTTCTATTTCGCCAGCTGAATTCGTGGTACGCCAATACGATATGGCGACAAAGGCATCTTCGCTGGCGTCCACGAAGATGTGGAGTTGAAGATCTTGTGGCATACCGTTTCGAAAATAATTTCTTGGAATGCGTAAGTCTAGAGCTAAAGGCAACGTACCGCCGCCAATTGTTCCAGGCGACATTAACACCGTCAGACAATGGGTCATCCCAGCAGATCTTTCGTCTCCAAACCTCCCGCATGAGCAAATTCGCTGCGATTGTGAAATGGCTCAAGAATCCAAGCGGGTCGAATATGAACATTACCATACTAAGCAGTTCTCTCTTTGTGGGGCGCCTATCGCCGTTTATGACCTTCTCGTCTACGCCATGGAATCTCAGCTTGAACCTAAACTCGTCATCGGACGGCTGCCAGTACATGTCTAAGACCTTTTCAATTGGCAGGCTGTCTTTGCTGACGATGGGAACCGTGACGTCAGTGCCACACAAAGCAGTTATTACCGCTTCAGAATTTGAAACAAAGTTTCGCAGCTCGAAACCAGCGCGTTGGTGTATTGCACGTACTTGTCCCGCAACCTCAATAGCCTCCGATTTACTGCTGAAGCTATCTACAAACTCGTCCACGTAGTGATAGTTTAGGATGGACTTAACTGCTCGTGTGGCGTGATTAACATGCATGCTCCAGAGCGTTGGCTGCTTCGACGAATTGCGCGCAACATGGCGAGGAAGCAGCACCGAATGTCATCACCTTCATCTCATAAACATCGGGATCTTGCGTAGTGTTACCATTTATTCAAAGGAATCTTTGTGCACATCTGTCTTCCGGGCGGACTAAAATCTGGTGGAAAATCTCCTTGATGTCTCCACATACAGCTATTGCTCCCTTACGAAAGTGAAACAAATCCGATGGCAATGCACAAAGATCTTGCGGACCCTTCAGGAGATGAGCATTCAGTGACACACCATGTGCTTCAGCAGCGGCATCAAAGCCTCAATTTCCCTGGCTTGTTAGGGTTAACCACGCCGAATTGCGGCAAATACCATGTTTTGTTTTGTAATGAGGCTATCTCTTCTGGCTGGAGTTTCCGGGCGTAATCCTTCGATGCCAAGAAGTCGCCTGTATGCCATTGAGTAACTTTCTGGCAGAATAATGTCGTCACTCCTCCACAAGAGCCCTGTTTCGTACCTTCCGTTTACTCGACGCGTTGTTGTATGTAAGATTACTTTCGCTCGGGTGTCATCTGCACTTTCAACAGGGGGCGCTGGTTTCACTCCGAAGCTTTCTATGGTGAAATAATCAGCCACCAGGTCGTGAAGCTCTTGGTCGCTGGTTTGTTTGACTAAAACACATCGTTGTACGTTGGGCTGAGCCTTTACTGTTGGAAAAAATACACTAAAGCCAAGCTCGGTATTGGCGGCGTATGGTCCAGTGCAATGAATCCTCAGGACTTCCGCAGGCAGACCTAAATGGCAGTGGTCGAGGCCTAGTAGCAATTTTGGCACGGCACCACTATACGGCTCCAACGGCAACTGTCGCATGTGGGTTAATGATTTAAGGTCTTCTTTACTTACGCTTTGTGATGGCAAACACAAACTCGACACGCTATGGACGTTACGCAGATGATGTCTCTTCTCCATTCCTGTGCCACTGATGAACAAGTTGACGACTTGGCTGAGTTCTTCAGCTGCCCGACCTCCGAACCACTGAACATGTAGCTTGCGCTGATGGCCACGTAAGCCCAGCTCCTGTACTAAAGCACTGTCAATCAGAGTGAGAGACGAACCTTCGTCGAGCAAACCATAAGTGTTGACGCCTTGTTCTTACCATAGAGCGTCACAGGCAAGATACGGAATAACAGCTTGTTTTTTTACTAAATTGTTGCTGCAACTCAAGACTGATGGTTTATTACCTTGATTTAGTAAATCTGCAGGTGCTGGAGACGGTTCTGGTACTTTAGCTGAATTCTGAGTCAAATCGTGTAGGAGCTTGTGACTCACTCTTTTACAGCCATCTATAGTACAGGTCTTTCGGCGACGGCAATCCCGTGCAGAATGTCCAGCATGGAAGCAGGAAAAAAATAGGCGGTGACGCTTAGCTTCAGTCCAACGATCAGGTACTGTCATTTTAATGAAGCGTTGACAATCCGCCAACTTATGACAGTGTTTGAAGATTACACATTTCAAGGTTGGTGTCGAATGTTTTTCACGCTGGTTCTCTGTGGCATATAATACTACACGACGTGTTATTATTTCTTTGCTATCGAAACTATGCACAGTGCATATGAGATTCGCAGTCTGAGTAAGCCATTCACTAAAGTGTACTATGGTTGCGTACGGTTGAATCACTGATGCAAACCTGGCCCACTCGATTCTCTTGCTCATTGGCAGTTTATTGACCAGCTCCTCCATCAATCGTCGGATTCACCAGATGCTTATGACCGTTCGCCGATTTCAAAAACGCGACAAGATTTTGTACTTTAGTAGCAAACGGAATCAGCTTCACTAAATTGGACTCGGGCACAAATGGTATACCTTTGCTGATCGACAGTTGGCTGCGAATAAGTTGTTTGGGGCGACCAAAACGAAACCTTAGCTGCTCAATGATGGCATTTACATTGTCTGGATGGATCAATAACGCCCGCACAGTATCGCGAGCTTCCCCTTTCAGACTTTTCTGCAAGCGCTGGTTGTTCTCTAAATTTGTGTAACCATATACCGCTGTAGATTTTATGAACGCTGTATGAAACAAAGGCCAATCCTCTGGATGGCCGTTGAATTCAGGCAAGTACTGCAATTTGCGCGGTGCTAGTGCCGTATTTTCATGTAGGACGTTGTTGCATATAGGCGTTATCCCAGGCATTCCTGTATCTGGCAAAGGCGACGCTGATGATGAAGCGAAAGGCGCTCTCGTTGGTAGAATAGCGAACATGACGGCGGATGCTCATTCGTTACTCTGGCGCGTTGATGAATGCCACTAATTGGTTGAAAGTCGCTCGAACCTGCATTAGAGGACGACGGCTGCGTGACAGGGACAATAGAGCTGGCGACAACGGCGGACGAGTTAGCGGCACTTGTAAAGACAGGAGTAACGGCTTCATAGGTAGCAGACCTTGAAAGTAGCGGCTTGATGAGTCATGGCGGGAAACCCATGCGATGCAGAGACTGTATTGGTGGTCAAACTGCTATACAAGGCGGTTGATGCTTCATTATCAGGTCTCGCCATCATTGTGTTATTAGCGCCCTCAATGTAGCAGCCAACTGAGCCGGTAATAGCATTGGTGATTGGAACGGCGTATGATATGGCCGTTGTGTCATCCTTGGAAATGCGCTGCTGAAGTGCCTCCCTTAACGGAGGCATTGTGAATCGCTTTCCTTAGCTCTGACTTCCACGCTTTTAAGTTGACATTCAAGAGAGGCAATTTGTTTAAGCAGGGTCTGAACAACGCTTTCTTGGGTGGGCAAATTTGCGGAACTGGCGAAAGTATTTTGTGTGACGGCTTCTGATCGTTGGCTAACGCTATCCTCTGGTACTGTTGCGGCGGGTACAGCGGTGGTAGCAATTTGCGTTCGATGCTGGCTCGGCTACATTTCCTCTTGGCCTGCGGGATTAGGATCATAGGCTGCATCGCCTTTGTCTTGACTGGATTCTGATACTAGTCCTTGGAGGCGAGGGCTACCACGTGGGGCGTGCGTTCCGTCATTTTCCGCAGTATGCAAATGGAATTCGCTCGAATAAAAAATGTATGCAAATGGCGGCTTATACAATTGAAAATTAAGAGGCGCGAAATAAAGATGTGCTCGTTGCTAGAGACTACGAATTAAAATCTATAAATATTTACGCCAAAGATGTACGATGAATTAAGCAGTAGTGCCAAGATAGTTTATTTCTATAATAAAGAAATTACATTATCGATTTCCAAATTACCAAAATTTAGATCTTACCGCGGTTCCGTCTCTGTCGGCTTTTTGCAATGAGTGAATTCGTCAAATCGCTGAAGATGGAACCGTGGTTTACAATCTTGCCATGTTCACAAATAAACATACAGAGTTGCCGCATTTACAAATAAACAATTTTAAAGTTTGAAATAACAGCGTTGCATTTGCTAGGCGTTTCGTGACAAAAGTCTTTCCCCTAAATTCCATTTGGCAACATTCCGCCATCTTAAAGTTTTTTTTTTGGGTTTTTTTGCGATTTGCAAGCCTATTTTGCATCTTTCGTAAAAAACGGTTAAATGCAAATATGTAGAGAATTTAATTACCCACATTTAAAATTTTTACATTGTCACGGTTTTTGCCATTTTTTGAATATTTCTGTTGAAAATACATAGCATATTGAAATTCCAAAATTGTAGAGAATTTCATTTCTCACAACTTCTATACCAACATTTTTTTTGTATGACGCTTAGATCACGGCCGAGAACGTGCCAAACATAGCGATTAGCCAAATAAAATTAGATAAGAATAGATAAGAAATAAACTAAAGATTGAGAGTAATATAGGGCTGCCATAATTGCTGGGCCTCAAACGGGGACACTTAGCAAACAAAACTTAATTCATTCCAAAGGGATACTCATGCTCTCGTTTTTCAACCGGCTTCGCAAAAAGGAAATGTTATTAATTCGTCGGAATATATATATGTTTTTTTATGTATGTTACCGCAAAATTTGGACCACGGTAACCGATTTCTATAATTCTTTTTTTTTTTAAAGGAAATATGTTACCTCACAGGTGGTCCCATACTAATTTCGTTTAAACCGATCATTGCATCATGAAGAAATTAACGATAATCTTAAATTTTTATATCGGAATTGAAATCGGTTTTGTTTTTTGCTTACAAATTGCTTATTTTAAATCATATTTACATTTATAGTCTCGTTCAATTGCAGAGGGTAGTTAAGTTAATACATACAAAAACGGAATTGCATAAACCATAATAAATAGAGATGAAGCAAACAGTGAAGGAACGTACTATTTATACGCATAACGTATTTTATTATATACTAGCAGACCCGGCGAACTTCGTCCCGCCCAAAATCTTTATTTTTTTATTGTAACTTTTTGGACCAACATTTTCACCAACAATACACGTTTTCGATTTTCATTG